AGATTTGGGATAGGATTTGGGATAGACATGTTCATTGTTCATTCCGAGGTACAACTACATTTGACTGTATAAACGACCTGGGAATGACTGTATGTTCGCTATTAATTTGATTCGTTGGTCTTGACGAAGGACTTAATTTAATAGCATCCTCGTCATCAGATTCATCAACATCTTCAATCGTGACTGAAGACTTCTTCAAAGGCCGATCTATGGACTTTGGAGCCTCAAATCTCACTGTTTTCTGATTTCCATTGGTCGTTTCAACCAATTTACCTGGTATTAAACCTGGTTTCTTGGGTATATGCACCCCATCAAATACTAATCTTTTCGTATTATCATTAAATTGATTTCGTTTTGCTTTCTCACTTTCCTCCGGAGCTACAGCATTGGATCTTAAAGTTCTCATGAACCAATCCTGCTCCTTCATTGGAGTACTTATTTTTTTCCATTTGAACTATCTTGGTTGAACACACGGACATCATCTTCTCGGTGTGCTTCCAAATTCCCAAGTCTATCCGATAGTTCCTCTATTCTTGTCATCCAAACAGCTAGATTGACGTTAGGATTCATCTGCTGGTCCATGACTTTATCATCTTCATCATCTTCCATGTTTGCAAAATAGGATTCAGCACGATCCCATCCCAAGTCTTTCGCCATTTGTTCAATTTTCTTGTATCGAGGTATATTTGGATCGTCTCGAGGCATTCTAGCATTGTCTCTTAATTTGTAATGCTTCGAGTCACCTCCTTCAGGCATCATCCAACCTCTTTTCGTAAATTCCAGCAAGTGTGGACATTCATTCATAAAATGATCTGTCGACTTGCACAAGAAACATGCCCACTGAGTTCCATTCGAACTTCTCGGTGTCGTATTTCTTTCAAATCTATTAGATTGATTCGAGGGACCACTCGGTGGTATCGAATTAATCATTCCTTTAGCATTTTCTTTGGCCATCTGTGCCATTACTGCTGTTAACTGCGTCATAATGTCTGCTCCTTCTTTGAAGTGCGACTGTAATGACTTCACAGCTCTAATTTCTTTCATGTTTGCCTCCATGAGGTCTTTATTCAACGCAACCATCTGCTGTTGTTCTTCCGTCAATTCCCTTGGAATCAAACTTTCTAATTTAATTCCCAGAAGATCCTTAAATTCGTCTTCTACTTTGGGTTTCAATGCTTGAAGATAGTTCCTATCTGTCTTGGGAACATATGCAGCAAACGGCAAATTAATGTGTCCCCTACTAAATGAATTAGGGTTATTAATTGGTGGGCTCGAAGAAGCAATGGAAAGTGTTTGATAGTAGTTATCAAAGGAACTCCCAATCATATACTTTTCAGCCGCATTCATTACTTCGTCAATCTTGAAAGGGTCTTCCTTTCGTCTATCTGACATAGAAGTAACTGATACATCTTTCACAACTGTTTCTAGCACGCCTCTCCTTACTTCGGGAGTCATAGGTGCCAAGAACAATCTTACCGCATCACTACCTGTGATCATTTTTGGTCCGTCCATCAGCTCCCTCATTCCAGCATCGAAGAGGAGTCTGAAGATTCTCATCTTCTCCTGTTCACCTGCATCAATTGGATTAAATTGATGGACCAATTGTTCAAGCAATAATCTAGATCCTCTTTCATCTCCTACAGATTGCGGAAACATATTCTTTAGATCCTTTTTAAATTGATCCCAATTCGGTTTCTTCACCAAATCAAAGACTCTTAATGCTTGTCTCGTTTTATAAGACGTCCATTCTAAAGCTAATCTCACTTTAGCCTCGTCAGATGTAATTCCTCCATGTTCAAATATGCTTTCCGTAGCTTCGAACCATGGTATCATTTGACTTGGATCAGTTATATCAAATAATGGTGCTGTCTTATACTTTCTTGGAAGTTTCGCACTGGCTTTATCAATCTCAGCCTTAGCTTCAGCTGACAACGCAGGCATTCCATAATTATTGGTAGTCATTTTGACTGGTTCAATCGTATTACTTGCTTGAGAGATAGTCTGGGTTAACGTATCTATCAATCTAGTTGATTCAATCGACGTAGAAGATGTTGAAATTGACTCTGGAGCAATCAATTCAATTATATCTTCTTCAATATCAATCGGATTAATTTCTTTTCTCTTCCTTTTCGGATCGAGATTAGATTTCTTCAAATTCCTCGGCAAAGATGTAAGTCTTCCTCGAGATATAGATGATCCTGTTCCTCTAGAAACAGAACTTCCACGCGATTCTTCTGTCGGTATTTGCGAAGAGGATGGACGACTGGATTCGTTCGTAGGATTTAATAGGGATGTTCGAGCTGATGTGCCGAACGTAGATCTCCCAAATACAACTCCTGCTTTACGATATTCTTCCGGTGTCAATACTCCTGCTTTCTCTGAATTCTTCGAAGTACGCGGTTTTCCTGATGAACTAATGTTGACAGTTCACAGAAATGGTATCACAAAGATCAACACACTTCTACCAAATAATCGAATATAATCCAAACAAACGTTCAATTTAATTTATCAAGCTAATTGTAGCTTCAAAACCACCCCTCGCGGTGGGCTCCAGATAACGAGCTTGCCTCGTTTTTGTGTGAAAGAGAAAGGAATCTAATGGGCACTCCAACCAACCAATCTAATACACAATATGCGAGTTCACTGCTATCAAATTTATTTAATAGCAAGGGGTAGCGTTGGCAAAGGTTCCGCAAAGCTTTGAGAGCTAAGTAAGAAGCTTTGATCAATCAATTTGAATCGTTCTAAGGATTTGATATATTCCTTTGATCAAGGTAGATTCAGCACGATTTGTGCTTTGGTTTGTATTGATTTGGGTATATCAAGAATTGGGGGTTTGAATCAAAGTAAATTAAAACCGAAACACACAGACCCCTACGGAGGGCTAGAACTATGTGCTGGCACAACCACACAGTGTGATTTGCCCTTAAGACCAACGACTGATCCTATGTTCGAAGAATATCCAACAACTGGATATACTTCTCGCAGTCACAAGGAGCAGAACACAATGTTCCTATACTCACAAGTGCTGGGCCTGAATGGCTGCTAGCGAAGAGGTTTCAGTCTGGCGGGAGTGTGTCTTTCCTTTTTACGGATTAGCACTGCAACGTCGTCCCAAAATCACTTGTATTCCAGATACATCGGATCGCTATTTATACATACAGAATATAGAGTCGCACAGTACAATTAATTTAATACAATAAACGTTCGGAACCGCAAGGAAACTTCTACACTCAGTCAGATACCATTTAATTTGAATCTACATGTCCTTATTTGGTCCATATTGGTTCCAAGATTCTAGTATACCCCCAAACATAGGTAGGTACTTCAATATTCATTTAATTTAATTGTTTTTAGAGAATGACTCGAATAGTGTTTAACTGTCATTGCTGTTCAACACTTACTTCAATCGTTTGTCACCTCGTCCGGAGGCAAATCAGCTCTCCTCGATTCTAATCCTATCAATCTGATTCATCTGGATTAAACTAATTGCTTCTCTCTTTCAATAGACACCCATTGTGCCTATACTCTATCAATGGAGTTATGCATAGTATTCATTTAATTGCATTCTTCAATATTTTCTACGTCAGGACTCTTTGACATTCATTTGATATGTCTTCGGAGCCTCGCAGTACTTTGATCGTTCTTCTAGTCATTTTCCTCAACCATGCAACCTGATTGGTCTATTAGACTAAATCACAGTCTTTTCAATTAATGCATGATCTCATTCTAGAAAGTCATTTCGAGTCAATCCTCGGCTCATGGTCACTTGAGTAAGTTCTTCCAAACTCCTGCCAGTGTAAGGTCCAATAAGAATACCCTTGGCATGTCATACGTGAATGGTCATCCTTTGGATGTATGTCGAGTCTGGTATAATCCTGTTTGACAAACAGGTAGACTGCTATCCGAAGGTAGTATCGGGGATGGGTAAACTAACCAACTTGTGGTAGTATGGGTATATGGTCCCTTCAACTTATTAGACTGATTCAGTATTGACTTTGACTGTCAATCTGGGTCTCAATTACAGTCCTCTCAATATGCGTGAAAATGTCACAATTCACAGCATAGACGTCTAGCCAAAATTTAGGCATGTCAATGACACCTACCAGCTGCCAAGGCTGCCGGATTGCTTCCTTGGAGCACACCCGTACCAGGCATTGGGCTTGAGCCACCCAATTGTCCTTGCTGATGGTCGTAGGTGAGCGGTATGGTCAACCAGTCTTGTGTGTAATCCCGGGTCATATTCGGACGCGCTGGAAGCTTTGGGAAGCTAGTGATACTTCACCTTCGACAGACTCTTTTCTTTGTCAAATACTATATATGTTTCTGATTGGCATGTACGGCGTCGGGCGACGCAAGAGAACGCGTGGCCGCCTGGGTCAAATATCAAGATGTACTTACCAAACAAATCTTATCTCCCTTTGTGTGTAACCCTCATTGTGTATCATGAACTGTGAAATCATTGCGTAGACGATTTGTGTCAGCTAAGTGTTTATTTTCTATTACTACTAACTACTCTCCCCTCTAGGCTATTCTCAAAACACCAAAAGTCTCGAGGGCTGTTCTCCCCCAAACCGATACCTGCACCTGACTGATTCCTTCGCAGGTCCTTGCTTTGACCATTTAGCCTTTCTTTAGCAAGTGATTTCAGTCAGTGATGATTCTGATTCCGAATTGTCCTCTGCAACTCATGAATTTGAACTGACCCAGGTTCAGCTAGGGAGAAGAAAATATCTGCTTGATACTGCAGGAATAGAGGATGAAGATAGTGAGACAGAAGATGAAGGAGAGGAGGAAATAGAAGAACAGGAAAGTGACGACAATGAACCACTCTCTGGAAGGACAATGATTACAGCATCTCCTCTGAAGATTAGGATTAGCAGAAAGGACAAGACTGAAGTCGTTGAAAAACAAAGTGAGTGCTCTGCCTGTTTCACATGCATTAGTACTCAACTATTCGGCAGATTCTATAGCATTCATATTCTCAATTCCAGTTGACAATGCAAATAAAGAGTTTTTGGGCTGATTTCAAGTATGCCATTGCCAACACATTGGGCATTGCCCCTAGACAGGTCCGGGTTGCCTATTGTTTCAGTACTACACCCCAAAGTGACCACCCGTTCAATCATGTTTGGAATGAAGCTCAACTTCGAGAACTTATCAAAGATGCCGAGGTTGCTCAGAAGGCCTGTGCAAAAAGCAGAGTTAAGACTAAGAAGAAATTTGTTGTGGTGCTGAAGCATACAGGTGAACAGTCAGAGAAGCCTGGAAAGGATAAGGATGGAAAAGGCAATGTAAAGACATCGAAAAAGGTGTGTACAGAGCTATCATTGAGTATGGATGCTGATTTTCAATCTTTGGCATTCACAGTGCAAATGTTCTGATAGTTCTGAAGAGGAAGAAGAAGAAGGGATGAAGACAAAGGTCTTGAGCCAGGCGCAATGGATAGCCAAGATTAGCGAAGATAATCATTGTCCAGATCACAACCACATTTGCCTCAAAAGTATCACGTCTCACCCACAGCTAAAGTCTGCTGACATCGCAACATGGGCTCTGATGAATGTGATGTTGTTCGCTTCTGATTGACTCTGTATATATCTGATATAATTGAATACCTTAGGTTGCTGGATGGACATTGGCAACCACCCCCCCCCCCCCCCCCCCCCCCCCCCCCCCCGCCAAAGTTGAAACTTGATTTTGCCAGCAAAAGGAAACCTGCAGCTCCAGCTCTGGCTACAGCTTCTATACCATCTGGGTATCCCTACCACTCACTGATGCACTATGGAAATGCACCATATGGTGCACCTGGATTTATGCAGCCCCCAGCATTGCCATTCAAACACCGTAGTCATTCAGGGTGTGATGAGATGCCAAGCTCCAATCCCATAGAGTTGACGGAGGATGTAACTCTCTTTCCCCAGTTAGAGCAATGGCTAGCTGATCTGGACGATAGCCCTCATGGTCTCAATAACCATGACTTTGCATTGTTTTCACCTGATTTCCTTCGAGAAAAGTACATGCGTATCTCTGACCTTGATGGACTTACCATGAATGAGCTTCTGGAAATATGTGGAGGTATAGCAAGAGGCATAGCAAAGAAGGTTCTCGAGTGTGCAGCGAGAGAATGTAAGGTCATTAGAAAAAAGGAAAAGCAACATCTCCGGGAGATGGAAAAAATGCCTCGGCATTGTTACTGATAATATTGATACATTAGGACTATTACAACTAGTAGCCACAATGTGCAAACCATCCTTGTGTATCTGCTTCAGTTACAGACCAAACAGCTTCATTGAGTAGTAAGTAAACATTGAGATCATCTTTTTCTGACATAGCCGCATGTGCAATACCTCCATGGTGTTGAATATAAGCCTTAATGGCAGAAAAAGCAAGTTCAATAGGGTTGTAATCTGGAGAATAGGGTGGCAAGAACACATAGCGTATCCCACTGAATGTGAATGAGATTTGGTATGGGTGTCAAATGAATCAATAAACTGACTGAGCTTTTATCATATCAAGAACCTCTTCATTTTTGTGGATACGACAATTATCCATCACAATCACTGAGTTTGATTGAGGCCATGGATTCATTTGGCTGAGGAGTCCGTCAATAAATTTTCGGAACCGCAAGTTGTTGTATGAGCCTTCAACAATATCAACAGTGAGAATTCCAGTACTACATAGAGCTGGTAAGATGGAGTATCTAGAGCTATTCACGTTAGCAAGAGACATACTTTGAATACAGGAAAGACTCACCGCCGACCATACACAAAAAATGCACTGCAAGTAGCATGCTGTCCACCTATTGCCCATGCATAGCCTCGATAAGTGGTTCTTCTATCAGCAGAACTCTCATCTACAAAAACTAGCCGCTCTGAAGTGTAATGTAGTCCAATAAGTGCAATGTATCTGGCCCGCTTGATTGCGCTCCTCTCAATGGCTTTTTGTTTTAGCTACAACAAAGAAGGACAAAGATAAGTACAAGGATATGCAGTTGAGGTAGAGACAAGACTTTTTCATCCTATATCCACTGCGTCAAAGAGTTCTCCAGATGGTGACAAGAGAGACATTGGTCCCAGTCAATGCTTCGAGCAAGTCCTTCATCTCATCCAGGTATGCTGTTAAGATCATGTACACCGTGTAACCGTGCCAAAGTCACAAGGTGTCTAAGTGCGGAAGACGAGTGGGACAGTAGTGAAGTTATTAACAACACCGCCGTTACGCCGTTAGTCCCCGGAGAGCGAGAGTAGAGAGAGAGGAGCTAAGTAGCAGCCAGGTCGGAGCGGCGGTATCGCCGATGACGAGGAGCGGACCAGAGAACGTTAAAGTCCTAAGGTCGAGGAGAACGTACTTCGAGGCGTTGAGCCTGAAGACTTAGAGAAGAGTTAAGTTGAGAAGGGAGATCTAAGTTGATCTAAGTTGATAATTAAACTGAGGAACTACAGTAGCGTACAGGCAGTATTTATATCTACGGAACGGCGCAGCGGTGCGGAGCGCCAGACTAACTACTAGGAGCTATACGAGTAGTACCTGCAGGGTAAAGTAAAAGACAATAAAGAGAGACTAGAACGAAAGAGTAAAAGACAATAGTGAGAGACTAGAACAAAAGGGTATGTGTAGCGAGAAAGAACAATAAGAGTCAGACTACAATAAGAGCAGATCTTCGGAATACCGAGCGGCGGAATGGAGGCCCGCGGCATGGACTTGACAGTATCCCCCTCTTAGGCTTGAGCCCTCGAAAGCCATTAATACCGGGAGTTGGTTAGTCACCAAAGAAAAATTTCAAAGGCCGTCAGCATCGGGAATTTGGCCTATCAGTCAGCAGGAAAATTTTCAAAAGCCGTTGGTATCGGGAATTGGCGCGGTTCACCGTAAACCCAACACAATTCGCAGGAAAATTTTTTGTTGGTCCGTGCGCAGGTTTTGCCGTATAAAAGGTCCAGAGTTTCGCCGTTGAGGGCCTAACTTTCCAAAATCTCCTAAGTCCACCAACATGACGACCAGCCGTACACAAACTACCACGACCAGCTCTTCAACCGCCGGCCCCTCTAGGTCACGCCCTATCCCACCACCGCCCATCGACCTCACTGCTCACGAGGAGGACGACGTGGAGGATGAGGAGGAGGACGAGGATGAAATAATCCGGAGGGCACAGGCAAGAGTTGAGAGGGTAAGAGCGAGGAAGGCGGCCGCTGTGGCGAAGAAAGCCGAGGAGGAGAAGGCTGCAAAAGCGGCGGCGGCTAGAGAGCGAGCGGCGCAGGAGGCGCGGGACCGGGCCATTCGGGCTCGTCAACAGGAGGAAGAGGTAGCGGAGCGGAGAAGGCTTTTGGCCGAGGCGGCGACCGCCAGAAGTCAAAGGGGGACTTCTCCCAGTGAGATGTCCGCTTCTCCAAGAAGGCCGGTGGTGGAGGTTCGACGAGTAGTGAAGGGGAAAGGCAAGGCCAAGGCCCAGGTGAGTCAAGCTTTTTGTGGTTTCAATCCCCTCACTAACGTTTTGTTTCTAGCCGATGGGCGGAGATCCCGACGACGGCGATGACGGGGATGACGACGACGATGACGAAGAAGACCGCGCACCTTGCGAACGGTGCAAGACCAAAAAACTCCCTTGCCAAATGCAGGCAGGCAAGAGGAGTTCGATAATTTGTAAGCCCTGTCACGACGCCAAGGTGAGGTGTTCCTACTCGGGGCGCCCTACAACTTCGAAACAACGGGAAGGCGGTTCCGGCGAACGAATCGCTGTTTTGGAGAGCCAAATGGCTCAGAGTCTCGCCGACAGCCGGGCGCTACGAGAGGCGGACTCGAAAACTCACCAATACCTCCGTCAATTGTTGAGGAGGCAAGAGGACGACCATGCCCGCCTGATAGCCATGGAGACGAGAATGGCCATGATGGGTATGGGAGGAGGACCGGCGACGGCTGGACCGTCGAGGGGGACTACCGAGCGGCGGCGTCCGCTGAAACGGCGGAGGATTACGAAGGAGAGTGACGAAGAAGAGGAGGAGGAAAAGGAAGTGCAGCAAGGTATGGAAGAAGATGGGGAAGGAGAAGTAGAGGAAGAAAGAGGAGAGATGGAGGTAGAGGAAGGAGGAGAGGGGGAGGCACCGGCGAAGACGGTGACCTCTGACAAGGGAAAAGAGAAGGAGTTAGTAGAGTAGTAGAGTCACGGACATCGGACATCGGCCCTGCGGCCCTTCTTGTAAATTCTTGTAGTCCTCTGCCTCCTGTATAATCTTGTTTTTGGACTTTTGTATATAAATAAATGTTCAATGCAATTTTGAAGTCGGAAAGCGAATGGGCCGCGAAGCGGCGTAAGAAGTAATTAGTTTAGTATAAGTAGTGTAAGTGTAAATGGAAGCTAAGTGAGAACTGTGATTAAAGAAACCATAATAAGCAAATAAGAGATAGAGATAAACACTCAATTTACTATCATCGTGTTTATCCTCTAAACGCACAAAGTAAACTTCGGCGGAGCGCGGCGGAAACGGGGAAAGGGATAAAATGATTTTTTGTGATCAAGGTCCAGGTTTCAAAGGGTATCGAGCGTGGAATGCGGGTACCAGTTCGTCAGCATGTAATTCATCAGCAGCTACCCAAGAGAATTCATCGTCGGTGCCTTCGTAACCGGCCCACCGAATATAGTAACGTAGAGGGCAACGTTTGTACCTTCTGTCCAGCTTGGAGTCCAGGATTTCGGCAACGTTGTACTCCTCTTCACCATCAACTTCGATTGGAGGTGGAGGAGATTGAGTACGATTTGGGAAAGGATTCGGCGTAACCGGCTCCAGCTGTGAGACGTGGAAAACCGGATGAATTCGGCGAAGGTAGTCTGGGAGCTTGAGCTCGTAAGACAAAGTACCAGGTCGACTGATGACCTTGAAAGGACCGAGATATTTTTCTGAGAATTTTTCAGTAGGACGAGTAGAGCGAATGTGTTTAGCAAGAACAAATACTTCGGAGCCGATCGGGAACTCCGGATGCGAGATTCTTTTCCTGTCAGCTTGTTCCTTGTAACGAGATTGGGCTAAAAGGATTTCTTCTCGAAGGAAAACGTGTAGTTCATCGAGGTTAACGACGAAGTCTCTAGCTAGGTCAGACTTCATGTCGACCTCGGGCCAAACGGTGATATTTGGGTGGTATCCTTTGTTAGCGAAGAATGGAGTAATACCAGTGGAAGCATTGGGAGCGTTGTTATAGGCGAACTCGGCGATCGGGAGTAAAGGCGACCAGTCATCCTGTTGGTAGGAGCAATAGATCCTGATGTACTGCTCGAGAGTCTGATTGACACGCTCGGTCTGCCCATCGGCTTCCGGATGATATCCAGAGGTATAGTGAAGTTCCATAGAGAGCGCTTTACCGAGAGCCCGGAAGAACGCCGAAACAAATTCGGAACCACGATCGGAAGTAACATGATTAGAAACACCATGCTTAGAGAAAACGTGAATAACAAAAAGCTCAGCTAGATGTTCGGAAGTAATGGTGTCGTGAGTTGGAATAAATATAGCCTGTTTGGAAGATCGATCCACGACGACGAGGATAGCTGTATAGCCATTCGACATTGGCAGTTGCTCAATGAAGTCCATAGAGATGGAGTCCCAGGGTCGGACCGGAACCGGCAAAGGTTTCAACAAGCCGTAAGGCCGGTGACGGCGGGGCTTATTGCGACCACAGATAGTGCAAGAGGTAACGTAGTCACGAACAAAGTCTCTGACCTTGGGCCAGGTGTATTGACGACGTACAGCTTCTAGAGTGCGGTTCTGGCCGAAATGGCCGGAGAGTGGATGATCATGGAAATAACGAAGGACTTGAAGGCGAAGGTCGCCGTGATTAGGAACATAAATACGGTCGTCAAGGCGTAGTAGCTTGTCACTACCTAAGCTCCAACGTTCATTGGAAGGATCTTTAGCAAGTTCCAAACCAGCAACGGAGCTCGGATCGGCGGGAAGGGCAAGAAGGATAGCTTGGTGTAGAGCTTCGATATCCATGATAATCGAGGCTCGTAAAACGGGGCCTTCCAGGAAGGTAGCTCGAAGAGACGCAGTGAGTTGTTCGTTAGTAAAGATAGGGCGAAAGTTATGAGGGTTCACTTGGGCGTAGCCGATATCCCCCTCTTTAGGGTAGACGTCCCAGCGTCTAGTTATCGAATCGGGTTTCTTGCCGAGTTTACCCGGCCGGAAGCGAATGACCATATTAAATTGGTGTA